TTATCCCCAACGTTCAGAAGTGATTCAAGGTGTATTTAAACAAGTTCTGAAGCCCTTGATCAACAAGAAATCATAGAGAAACAAGAGAGAAAGCATCAAACACCAAGTTTGTGCAAATCAAGCCAATTTTCCTTTCAATATTCATTTTGCTTTCAAGAACACCATTTGTGCTCATTTGTAATTATCTTTGAGTGTTCTTTTCTTGTTCTAGAATTGTGCAAACATCTTACCTTGTGAGGTTTTCCTTGTAAGTTTGCAAATTTGTAATCTTCTCTTTGGGAAAAGAGTGTTCTCAAGAATTGGGGTATATTCTTGAGGGTGTTGTAAGGTTATCTCTTTGGCCTCAAAAGAAAGAACAAATTAGTGAATTTGTTGGAAAATCCTTAGTGTGGATAGCTAAGGTAGTGGACGTAGACTTTGATTGAGAAAGTCGAACCACTCTAAATCGCTGTGCAAATCTTTCAATTTTCTGCAAAAGTTTCCACCGAATTTTTAATTGCCAATTCACCCCCTCTTGGCTAATTCCGTCGATCGATTAACTCAACACACTTTGAATTCAAGTCAAACTCTAACAAATCTCCACCTTGACACGAATTCTGAAAGTGCAAAGGTTTCGAGACAAAACACCCAAATTCGATGTGACACCCAAACTCAACAAAAATAATTCTTCACTTCAACGAACAAGTTTTCCACCTCTTCGACAACACCCCTCAAAGGGGTAATCTTCAGTAATGGACACCGACCAATCTAAGCTTTTTCTAGGCTTGGATTTAGTCTTCACACCGACATGGTTATCATAAGTGCCAACTTTGCTCACAAATGTTTCACCACGAGCAATATCATACACAACACGATCCCAATCACCAATGATAGTTCTATCTTCAAATTCATTATGTTCACGAAATTGAACTCTTTCTTCTTTATATAACATTCTGACCACAGTTATTTTGTTCAACAACGTTATTTGACACGGTGGATGAAACATCAACTGCATTATCTAAAACTGTTGAACTCTATAAACATAAAACTTGGTAGTCTTTTTTTGCCCTTTCAACACAACAAGAGAGTCCCTGCAAATTTTCATAGCTCCACCTTCGCTGGAGAAATTGTACCCTTTTGAATCTAGAGTACCTAATGAAATTAGATTTCTACTCAAATCTGGAACATGTCTCACATTACCAAGTATCGAACAATCCCATGAACATCTTAATCATGATTGTGCTAATACATGCGACTTTATAAGGGTCATTATTTCCCAAAAATACATCACCTGTAGAAACAACTTCATACGCTGCAAACCAGTCACAATTAGGACTCATATGAAAACTACTACCAGAGTCAAGTATCCACTCATCACTTGTTATAAAATTGTCGTCAGCCGCAACTATGAGTTCTCCGTCATCGTACTCCTTTGCTATACCGACCTCACCAGATTTCCCAGAGTTCTGTTCTTCAGCTTCTCTTTTGATTTTATTTTGCAACTTGTAACACTCCGATTTAACATGACCTTTTTTTTACAATAGCGACAAATTTTATCGTGGTTGGAAGATTTTGATCTATCTCTTCCAATATTATCAGAAGAACGCTCGCCTTTTCTTCCACTGTCTGAGCTAGTCGATTCATGCATCACAAGACCATCTGCCTGGGGCTCGAAACCAGATACAAGATATTTCATATTGTCAAACGAGTGCAGACCATTGTAAACTTCTTCAATAGTGAGTATTTCGTGACTATACAAGATTGTATCTTTGAAAGAGGAGTAGGAAGGAGGCAGCAAACATAGGAGGATCAATCCTAAGTCTTCTTAATCATACTTCACTTCTAAAGTCTCTAAATAAGAATGTGGTCAGGTGCTCTTCTAGAGACGAACCTTCTGCCAACTTGAGCGAATAAAGATGCTGCTTTAGGTGCAACTTACCGATTAATGATTTCTGTATGCAAAGTTGCTCTAATTTCACCCACAAAGATGCAATTGTTTATTCTTTCAACACATCATGTAAAATTTGATTTGATAAGTGTAAACAAACCTGAGAAAGAGTTTTATGATCCTTGCGTTTTTCCTCATTCGTCCATTATGTTATCGACTTCTCATCAAATCCTTCTATTGTTGTCAAGATCTAACGGTGTAATAACATCCCGAATCTTCACCTGCCATAGCGAGAACCTGGTGTTTCGATCCAACAACGAAATATTATACTTTATTGTTGCCATAATCTTGAACCTGAAGCTCTGATACCAATTTGTTAGGAATAAGTAAGCGAAAAAATAATCAAAGGGATATCAACATAAAATAAGATATGTATAGGAGATGAGATTTAATGTGGTTCGCCTTGCCTACATCCACGGCGAGATGATCAATAATCCACTATAGATTTAACAAATACAAAAGTACAAGTACATGATATCACATGTATCCCAAAATCTGATATATCCAAAAACTCTCCTACAAAACTATCTTTATAACATAAACCACAAAATTACAGAGATCCGAGAAAGATTACATCTCTCTAAAATAATTCTCATTCACTAATTAGGTTAAGACATTATCTCTATTTATAAAGTCAAATACCTGATCATCAAGAATTCTTAATCCATAAGAATTATTGTCTAAAATAATTACATAAAATCCAACTTAATTACCAATTATAATTTGGGTCAAAATATAACATATCTCCCCCTTGACCCAAATTTCATCCAAAAATTGGTTTTCAAGTCTTCAACAACTTAAGTCTATAACAACTTCGTAAGTAGCATAGTTGAAGCATCAATGTCAAGTCTTCAACAACTTCAATTCTTATGCAATATCTATTGAAGTATCACATATTAATTAAGAGTTACTTCTTTGCAACTGAAAACTTATTGCAGCAAATTCATCTTGCATGTCTCCAAAATCGCTAACAAAATCCGAAATAACAAATTCCTTCAAAATTCTACAGCCCGAACCCTAGCTCTGATACTAATTTGTTATAATATTAGAACGATGATTATCGACAAACAAATAAACATGATCGAAAAGAAAAACAAAGAACACCAGGATTTACGTGGAAAACCTAAAAGGGAAAACCACAGCAGAGAGAGAGAAGAATTTCACTAATATGAAGGAATAAAATACAAGAGGATTTCGGTGAAAGAAAAGAATTTGATTTCTAACCATGATCCTTAGTATCTATTTATAGAGATAGATATTTGATTACAAAAAAAAAATTAAATAAAGGAAAATTTACTTTAATAAATTTTTTACTTTTAATCAAACTAGCTTTCGTACTTTCTTAATATTTATATAATTAATTTGTGTCACTTTAAATTTTAATAAAACTCTAACACTTTATTAGCTTCATTGAAGACATGAACAAACTGTATGTTTGTAGGTTAGTCACGTGTATCTTGAGCTAGCAGATAGTTAAAGATTTATTGCTTTGTAACTTGTGCAAAAAAAAAAATTAAATAAAGGAAAATTTACTTAATAAATTTTTTTACTTTTAATCAAACTAGCTTTCGTACTTTCTTAATATTTATATATTAATTAATTTGTGTCACTTTAAATTTTAATAAAACTCTAACACTTTATTAGCTTCATTGAAGACATGAACAAACTGTATGTTTGTAGGTTAGTCACGTGTATCTTGAGCTAGCAGATAGTTAAAGATTTATGCTTGTAACTTGTGCAGTTTAGTAAAATGATCCGTTTGGCTAGGCATGTTGTTTGTTGTGTTAGTTCCAACTCTCGTATAAATTCAAGATCGGCTCATTGAGTAAGAGAGCTTCATTAAGAACAGTAGACCCATTTGTTCTCTTCTCAAGCTTTCTCTACCCACTTTCTTCCTCTTTGGTCTAGTTTGTTCATCAATGGAGGAATATCTTAACACATGGCACCATGAGAGAGAGAGAGAAGTCTAAAACTATTATATACTACTTTTGGGATAAACAGGAAATAACCTTTTCAGACAAGGTCACAGCAAAGCAAGTTACATTTATGGCAAGAACTGCAGTCTGCTAAGTACAATGAAGAACTATTGCATGTTGACAGGTTAAAGCCCGACAATTGCTTTATTCTATTACAAAACACTCGTAAAGCGAGTAGATATATATGAATCACTTTCATAGCTTCAAAAACAAAGACTGCTGCAATTTACAATCTTGTTTCATATTTGGTTATTTGGGTTATCAGTGGGATCTTCAATACTCTAGCAGGTCCCTCTATGCTATCTTCCAAATTCATCGCTTAGAAACCGTCCGTGATCGGCAGTTCCTGGGCTTCACTTTTTCTTCTGTTGTGGTTGAGTTCTTCTGGTCTTTGCTTTGCCCATATACTGAAAACCACAAACAACAACGCAAAACGAGAATTGAATTGGGTTGCCGGGACACTCATGCTCTTAGCCACACTGAGTGCTATAATTGAATTACACAGTGAAATTCTATGGTTATACCTTCCGAGGTGAACAAAAAATGTGCCGCAGTGATCATGCAAAGGGGACTGAGGCAGTAACAAAACTGGGCCTTGTTCCCTGAGCACAACTCCTTGTGCATAACGCGATACCAGAACACACCACTCCCTGATCATTTAATCACAAGAGTTATATAAATTTATTACTTTACTATGGTTAAAGTTTATTTTTTTTTTTGTTTTGTACTAATATACAGCAGCTAGCAAGCTTGAATCAAACCCAATTTTCCAGGCACTCATATCCCTTTCCATTGCAAACGACACCGCTGCACCTCCAATGGTCCCGATTAAGCATATCATAGCTGTAAGAGAGAGATTTGCTGGATACAACTCAATGTAAATGACTGAAACCAAAAATCATTAAAATCACAAGTCAGAAACATTAAGAAATAGAGTACAATTTTATATTAGAATGTGAACTTATAATTTTTAAGGACAATAGAAAATACGAAGGAAATGACCCTGCAAAACGTAGAAACCTGACCATCCCCAGCATCTGGCTAAGAGCATGGTGTCCCGGCAACCCAATGCTTGGCCTCGGCTTCATTGTGGCAGTGTGGTGGCTTCCACCTTGCAACTTTATGAAATTGATCGCCGGACCTTTGTACAGTGTCATGATAATTGCTCCGGGGACCATTATTAATGTTCCGATTATCTTGGCTATGCTGCGCACCTTCTTAATGTTCACTCTCTCCAACCTATTTCACAAAGTTAATAATCATTTCCTGGCAATAGTAAACTATGGAAGTGCAAAAAAGCATTTAATATTCCAAAAAGTTTATCATGATCAATATTCCATAATGCATATGAGAAAGATGACAACCAGAAATAAATTAGAACAAAAAAATTTATTTATTTATTGAAAAGATACGAGGATAATGATGACAACTTTCAACATAGATTTATTGGTTTGGTGCCTATTACTTGGCGCATGCAGATTTCATTTACTCCTCATTTGCGCGCTTCTTATTATTGCGTTTATGATATATATGAATCAGTAAATAGAATTAACCCAATTATGTAACATCATAGTACCTGAAAATCAACGCCATACGAAGGTAATTGCAGGAATCACATTGACAGTGGCCGATGCAAGTGTTGCTGTCGTGTCTTTCATCCCCAGGTAGTACAGATTTTGGTCCACCACTGTCTGTTCATCACCAAATACCCATTAGCAAGAAATATAGTGTATATTCTTCCGGTTTCTAAGAAATGTAATACTACATAAACATGCATGTGCATGCATGAAAGAAATAACATTTGGAGGGCATTACTCTAAGAAACCAAGCACCAGGATTCTGAGGAAAATAGGGAGAGTGAGCTTGGGCCTTATTTTCCTGTATGAAACAAAACCAAACATTTAAGAGGTTTAATATATGTTCATGGAGGAGAAAAGAGTGGAAACTAAAGATAAGAAGTGAGTCCCAGACCTTTCAAGCACAAGAGCAAAGGGTGCAATAACTATGGTGGCCACCAAATGGCGATAAACTGCAAGAATATAATGGTTCATTCCGTGCTGCAAAGAAACCATGGTTATGACATACATCCCTGCAAATCCAAACTGCAGGCTTATCATCGCCAAGTATGGTTTTGCCTTGCTCAGCTCTACCATCGCCATTTCCCCTGAAATATACGATCCAGTTAGCCTCCTCTGTCTGCTTTCACTCCGGATATACGAATTCTTCAGATATGTCGACTTTGAAAAGAGACCAGGCTTCTTCTTTTATAGGCAAGTAAACGGGGAAGTGAATGTTCAACTATTTTCAACTGCCTAATCTCTACGAATGTGAAACCCAGAGTCGAGACAAATTTGATGCTCTCATCTCCCTGCATGGTCAAGTATGCCAAAATTTTATGTATATCAAAATCCATTTAGAATAATTTCAAATCTATGATACTGTTCTAATTATCTATAAACTTTTAAATTTTTGTTATCAATGTCTAAATTATAACTTTATTTAAATTGGTTCATAAATTTAAAAATATTTTATATTAGTCATCAAATTATAAATATCATTTTATTTTGAGAATTCTACTGATTTTTTGAAGGTTATAACTTATAAGAATTGAACTCCTAATTCTTTTTTTTTAAATTAATATATTTTACGTCACATATTCAATTCTTATGACCTTCAAAAATTTAATTCTTTTTAACTAATATAGTTAAAAGAAGGATCATAATAAAATGATACTAATAATTTTAGAATTAATATAAAATATTATAAAATATAAACCAATTTAATGAGATCATGATTTTTTTTTAATTACAATGCAAACAGTCATGTGCCTCAGTTAAACCTGGGACTCCTCTTCCCAAATTGGCCGTAAAACCTCCAGGGTTTCTGGTATAGGTGCATTCCATCAGTCTGATTCCACGTTAAACAAGCAAGTCCATCTGCCACGGTATTGTGTTCCCTGGGAAATATGAGATCATGATTTAGTACTATAAAAATTTTTATGGCCTCATTAATTGAGAATATCATATTTAATTATCTCTTTTAAATTCAAAATTCATATAATTGTATCCTATTTTTTTATTTATTTTAAATTTTAAATTCATATAATTATATCTAATTTTTTTTTATTTTAAATTCAAAATCCATATAATTTTGGATAGAAGGAATAAGGAAAGGCTATGGGAATTCTATAGTGCGACAGGCTTAAAAACGGTTAAAATAAGGCGTTACCATTTTGTTATCGTTTAAATAAAAAATCAGTAAAAATTACTTAAATTTTTCCGGTAATTACCTAAAATATTATGTTAATCCGATCATTTTTAAGCCTAATAATGTTTTCGGTATTTTTTTCAAAAATCTGATAAAAAACACCCAATAATAACAACCGATAGCGCCTAATAATATTTCCGATATTTTAATTTTTATTATTTAACAAATAACAACCGATAACACTTATTTTAACCATTTTTAGTCTGCCTCACCGAACTATCCCAAAGCTATTATCGTAACCAAATAAAGAAGATATGGACAATTCCGTACACCGCAATTTGTAATCCGTACACCACAATTTACGAACCCTTACTCCTAATTCCGGATTCTCTCATCCACTGAGATCAGAAAAGGCTAGCAATATGCAAATATCCCAATCTACGCTGTTAAAAAATAAAAGAAAAAAATAAAGTTTATTTATATTTATTTATTGGCTTATATCACAAATAAGTACCTAAGTATCTTCTTTTTCATTTAGTACCTAAAGTTTTTTTTGTCAATATCTAAAGTTATATTTTTGGTCAAATAGGTACTTAAAGTATTTAAGTACCTAAAATAGATCAAAATATGTACTTAAAGTATTTTATGTCAAAATATGTACATAAAGTATTTTATGTCAAAATAGGTACCTAAACTATTCAAACTTTTTTATCTAAATTCTAAAAAAAGTTTACATGTGACATTAATTAAAGAATACTTTAGGTAATTAAATTAAAAAAATTGAATACTTTAGATACTTATTTTGACCGAAAAATATTTTAGATACCTATTTTAACAGAAAAAAGATAACTTTAAGTACTTAAATAGAAAAGATACTTTAGGTACTTATTTGTTATATAATCCTTATTTATTTGAAGGAAAGTGGGAATCTATTGGAATCATTGGTGTCAAATGAAGATGAGTTTCAGTGCTTTTCAATTATGCATGCAAATGCAAAGTTTTCTTGTGGTGTTTGTTAAGTGTGGGTGCTTGTTAAGTGTGGGTGCTTATAATAGTGGCCACCATTAATATTCTCAAATAAATAGAAATATTCTTATTTTATTAAAATAAAATTATTTACATATTTATTCTAAACACTTTTATAAATTGTATTCATAAAAAATCATTTTAATTTTAACCCATTCAGATGATCTATCCCATTGAAATGCCAAAGATTATTTTTTTTGCCCTACAGTTCCAAGACTTTAGCTTGACTAATTTAGACTGACTCAGATCGTACACCTGAATTTGATGGATTGGGTGATCTCCTAACGAAGATTTTGTTATTCAGTGTATTACCAATGAAAAAAAAAATCTATTATAAAATTAAAACCATGTTAAATGTTTTCTATACATATTTAAAATGTAAATAAATGTGCAAATAATTGCATATATAATAACTGGTTAATAAGTTCCATACCTTTAAAAAGTTAGAGATATGTTTCTTGGCATGTATAGCATGGAAAGATAGAGTATATTTGGGACGGCAGGTCCAACTTTTTAATCAGTAATCACCAATTTTGGTAGTTCAAAACCCACACACTTGCAATTGTAACCAATAATTAGATTTTATTTATATAAGAATAGCAGCATTCATTATCTACTTATTTTTATCATTAAAATATTTTCTCAATCACCAACCGAGATTAGTTCAAGTGGTAAGCATTTTGATTCTGCTTAAGTAAGGCCTCAGGTTCGAGTCATTGTATATACAAAAAATCATTGCTGGGAGACTCACCCAACAAAATCAGGTGTGCGATGCGGGTCGATCCGAATTATAAAGGCACAGCCTTAGAACCGGGATCACAACCAAAAAAGATATTTTCTCAATCTATTCTCAAGAAAGATAGATGCATTGAGAAATGTTGATTGTCACGATTTTGTTTTGCAGATAAACAAAACCTTAATTGAGCAATAATTTTATGGCTAGCCGAAAAAGAGATATTGTCTTTGAATAATTGAACAGTTAATATATACATACGTATACACGTATATGGCATTTGTAGTAGTATTAATTGAACATTAATTTCTAAATCAAGCACATAAAGACTAAAATTTTGAAATTAAAAACAAATAAATTAAAATTTTAAAGCCCAAATATACAAAGATTATTTTTTTAAATATTATGATGTGATTATAAAATAATATAGGTTTAAAATCTTTCTTAACTATTAACAATACACACATCTTGTAAACGCAACTGGTTAAACACATTACTTCTAAGGAGAAGAATACACAATTTTATCACTTTAAATATGATTAAAGAACAATTTTTAAAATTTCTTTATTTTATAACAGTGATGGTGGCCTTCTCCAGCCACCACCCTGTCATTCTTAATTCTTTTTTATTTTCACAAAGTGCTCTCCAGAAGTTACATAGTTTACTATATAGTTTTTAAAATTTCTTTGTTTCATGGCAATGGTGGTGGTCTTCTCCCGCCATCACCCTGCTATTCTTAGTTATTTTTTAACGTATTTTTAATAATAATTTCCCTTGGTCCTTTTTCTAGTGAAATGTGTCATGACTACCGGTGGTTTAGATTCTCGGTACAGGTTTTTATTGGTCTTTTGTTTTTCACTGAATACATAGTTGGTTGCTTTCCTGATGCCCGATTCTTCTGTTCGTTTGTACAAGACGGTTCGTTGGTTATCGCATATATGTGCCGGATGGGATTGCTGTTAAGGGAAGATCGCTTTTTTCGTTGGCCATTTTGGTTCTTCTTAAAATTTCTCTTTTCCATGTTTTCTTGCTCAAAGTCATTGGTGTGTTTAGTTTATGTACGTCGTTGCTCCACTTGTTAATGGTTTTGTTTATCAGGCTATCACTAAACTTATAATTTTGAGTTTATCTTCTTCTAATTCCTTGACTTTTGTCCCTTTACTTGTTTGAATTTTTTTTTTAAATGAAGTCCAATTAAGAACTTTATTAGTGAACATATATTACATTGCAAATGCAACATTTGAATATTCAAATGTTTGATTTAAAAATTAAGTATAATTGATAACATATCCAATTTACTAAAAATCGATTACCATTGTCATCGATAAAATTTAAAATTTTAAATCAACTAAGAAGAGGGCCTAGATTTTTAAATTCAAAAAAAAAAAAGATTAAATTTCAAAATATCAAAGAGTGCAAAGATTAAAGGCGCTATTAAGTCGAGTGTTTAATTATGGATTAATTGCTCAGAAATATTAATTGATTACCATTTAATTTACATTTAATGAATCGAAGAAACTAAACAATGAAAATAAATTGTTCAAGATGAGTGTGACAACACATGGGCGGAGATTGCAGAATAATGAAGGATTTTGCTTTGTTGATTGGATTCCAATGGGGGGGGGGGGAAATGAAATTTTTTTTTTGGAAAAGTTTGTGGAATCTTGGCGTGGATTCCTACCTTTGGTAATGCATATGCATACGCAGTTAATCCCTTAATTTGATTTTTATTTCATGTTTACACATCATAGAAAATGACACCCTCCAATGCCCAATTGTGCATGTGCTGCCCATGGAACCTTCTTCACCAAGTAAATTCCCCCCCTGCTATCGCTTTTGCCTTAAAAAAATTCAACGATAAACACCTTAACCTAACTTACTATAACTAGATTATAAGGATGCATAATTATTATCTAATAATCACGTTAATTTATAGTGTCCGAAGATAGGATAAGTGTCAAATTTTAAATAAAATTATTATAAATTTGAGCTGCAATTATTGTAAGAATATGGAAATATAAATATAGAAATAAATACCGGATTATAGAGCCTTTGGGTAAGGAAGGAAGTGGGTAAGGAAGGTGGAAAATTCGGATAACGACCTTATCCATAATAAATCTATTCGATTCTCGGGGGGGAAAACCATGCGGTCGGCGGTCGGCCCCAAGAATTCTTACAAGATTTGGAATTAAACAAATTATTATTCGATGTATCATTAATCTGTTAAAGTTCAGAATTTTTGGTGA